ATATATATATATATATATATATATATATTATTAATAATTATATATATATATATATAAATAATTTATAATTAACAATATTTTAATGAAGGAGATCAAAATCTTACACATGAAACAATCGAAATTATCTCCATCTTTTTCTTTTTAATAATGTGCGAGGAGACTAGATTAAATCAAATCTTTACAAATCTGACTGGAACCTACTCATTTTCTTCCTCTGCATATAACGTAAGTGAAACTCATACTCTTTAAGATGAGAGATCTTTTTTTTAATAATGTATGAGGACTATAAAAGAGTTTTAGTGAAACTTAACGTTAGCTGCGCTCGGTTAGGAGTATCACGCGAAATTTTAATTTAGATATCTCGAAAATAAAAGATAGCGAAAAGCGCTAAATCTCTACTTGACTGAGATAGGCGCGGCTCTCGCTTTAAATTCCGCCTTAAGGTCCTCTCGCTTCTAAATCCTTAAAAGATTTAGAAGCTCACGAGGATCTAAGACTTGAAAGATTCAACGGGAAGTCGATACGTCCACGTCGGATATATCCCGAGGCAGCCGGGTTATTCTTGCCGCTGTTTTAATACTCTGATATTACACGACCGTGTTATCGCGCTATTTTTATTGGATAAGATCGATGCGAAATCGGAGCGTAGTTCCCGCCAAGGCCCCGGCCTTGACCGCGACCCAGGGTCTTCATCCTCAGGAGGATCGATCCGCACTTTTCGCATTCTAATTCCGTAACCACCTACGTGCATACATATGCCAGCGATATTCCGGACCGCACGCGCAAGCGGGCAATTATAATAATTCACACAGATAACGTCCGTCGACTTGTTGCAACCGGAATATCGAGTACCGCCGACACGTCCGCGGATTACCGCGACAAAGGAGAGAACCGCGCGCGAGAACCGTGATCCATAAAAATAAAAATACACCTGACCGTTACAGGAAAGACGCGCGAGCCCCTTCCAAGATTCTTTTTTTCATTTTTATCCGAAGGGAGCGACCGATATATCTCTGAACCACGCGTGCGACCGCGTTTTTCGCGAAACGGAAGCAAGAAGAGAGAAAGAGAGAGAGAGTATCTTCTGGTACGCGAAGGCCTTCTCCTCCCATTTTCGCGAAAATGATTTACGACTATTTGTTTGCGATCGGCGATCGCGAGCGCTCTCCTCCTGAAAATCGCAATCGCCCGTTACGTCACACGCGCTCATTATGCAATTCCGCGCGTACGCCCACCAGGCGCGCGAATCCCGGAGAGGCTCAGGCGTTATGCGACTGTTAATGCGAATTGTGCACTATCGGCCGATATCGCACCTGGCAACAGATACGGAGCTATTTATTGACCGATGTTAATCGCGACGTTATCTTAATTTGTGCAGTGTAGGCGATACCGCGCGCGCACCCGATCGTTTATTTCGCCCGATCGTTACACCGACGCTGCCCGATTCGCTTCTGTATCGACGTATATGATCAATCTTCTCTCCCGATGATACAGATGAGAGCGTAAAGTTCAAGGAACCTTGATATCGCATACAGAAAAAAAAATTAATCTTATATCAAAACTATATATATAAACAAGAATGTTATCATTTTTCTTAGAACAATTTTACTCTTGATTTGATTGAATTTATATCGATGCAAGTATAAATATTCTCATATAAGCAATAATATTATAATTTTCATTCACAGAAGATTTTAATTTTGAGTTGAGCAGTAAATATATACTCGCATCAATACAAATTCAATTAAATCTAAATTTTTTAAATTATAATATTCTTGTTTATATTTTTCTTGATTTAAGATTAATTCTTTGATGCGAGGCTCTTAGTCTTTCAAAATCAATGAGTAATTTTTCAATCAGGTCTCATCATTACGGTGATTTCAGAAATTAGTTATTTGTTACAGGACGATGACATGCGAAGAAATAGGTTAATCTCGATAATGAGATTTTTATATGTTTGTAAAATTTATATATAAGATTCTTTTATGGCATCCAAGTGAATGTGATTCCAATATGAAGCGGAGCGATCTATTGAAAATCTTTCATTTATTCTGTGATTGCGTGCGATTAATTTTCACTTTCAATCTATCGTGATATTGAAATTAATAATGATTTTCCACCTCGCTCGCGAAATATCTAGGAGATAAAAATTTTTTATTATTTCTTCTGTTGCATTGCGTGTCGTGTGTTTTTGTGCACGTGTTATCACTTCCGTAACTTGATTCCTAGAGTTACGATGTGATTCCTAGAACTCTGAAGTTCCTCGTATGATTAAAAGAAGATATCGAGTGTCAACTCCAAGTTTTTATTACATCAAGATCAGCAATAACGTTTTCTTTTTATTTTTATTTCAATCAAGTTCAAACAGAAAATTTTTCAGGGTGAAATTACAACCCCCATAGATCCTCGAGGAGGATCTCGTTTAATCTAATTAGTTTTTAGTTGCTGTAATTTACTCTTTTTTTTTCTTTTTTTTTTTTTATAAATGTGTCTAGACAAGACACGTTCTCTTATCTCGGGAAGGGGAAGGACTGGAGTCTTCAATTATATTGCTATTCTAAAAGTGGAGTGTTAAGTTGTCAGAGGCGTCGGTAATAGCGTCAGGATCGCGCGTCGTGGCGCGTCGGCGCGCAGGCGGAACGGGGAGTCACGGACGTATAGGCAGGAAGGTAGGACAGAGGAGGAGATAAAACGAGATAAAACGAGATTGAGAGGCCCAAGGCCGTCGTTGTCGGCCGTTTCCGCCGGCGCTCGGCGTCTAAAATTGCGATGGCGTGGCTCCGCGGCCTTCGCGAACGCGGTAGCTTCTCGCTCTCTCGCAGAAAAGTCAAGTTCAAGGCCGGCGAGAAGCACACCGTGGCGTCGCTCTCTCTCTTTCTCTCTCTCTCTCTCTCTCTCTCTCTCTCCTCTCTACTCTCTCTTCGCCCTCCCTTAGATTTATGAGATATCCTTTGCGTAGCGAGGGAGCTGGCTCCGGAGATCATCGGTCTCGGTGTTATTGATATTGCAATCAAGGATGAACAAGCCGTAATTTGTTCCTCCCACCTGAAGGAAAAGGAGTACCAAATGGAGACCAATGTGGTACCAAGCAATTCGCATCGTTTTGGACCCGTCGTTCTCCGCGCAGGTTTCAATTCCGCGGCGCGTTAATTCCGTCGTCGTCGTCGTTTCCGTTTCCAAGGTCCGCTTCGAGATCGCTCACGAGAGAAACGACGCCGCAAAAAATCCACGACGGTTTTCGCGATTTAGACTCTGCACGGTTTCCGATCTCTCGCCTCAGAGACTCGATTGCGAATTCAGATCGAGTCCGTCGAATGGGGAGCGCGCGAGTTCGCATCTGAAAAAAAAATCAAGTTCAAGGTCGACTAGATGCTGCTTCTCCCTCCCTTCCGTCTGCGAGTCTCGCTTTCTGCTGGCACACGACACATGATGCCGAACGGAACGGAGGGGAGGGGGCGGTGAGGGGCGAAAGGGGGCTTACGCAATCCTTTCACCGTTACTTTGTTTAGCAACGCCCTAATCTAGGGCGCAGTTATCTCATATTAAGCGTCCAGCATCGTCGAGTCGCTGCTTTTTATTACGTCACACTGCTAGATTACAAGATATTTTATTGTGCATTTATATGCAGAAATTAATCAACAAATATCTCTTTTTCCTTTATTCTTTCCGTCCTCTTAAAAACGTTTCATTAAAGACCAAAAATTTCCATATCAGTTTTTGCTTCCTGTCCGTCCAAAGTTAAATTTACATACATATCCTTTTCCACAAAAATCCACAGAAGACACTACATCTTTAATAATTTTATTTTGTTAAAATTTAATTAATATTTAATGTATTATTTAATATATTTTAATATATATTAAATATTAATATATTTAATATATCAAGATCCGATTATTTTTTTTTTTTTTTTATTAATTCTGGCTGTTTACGTTTTTGTACTCTTGAATTTGCCTATTTCCGCGCGCAGATATCGCGTTTTGGCTTGAAAACGCTGGAGTGCACAGGAATTAATTGGGAATTCTCAGGCGGTTTTAGCGATATGGACAAAAACGGAAATCGATTTATGTTTTGAGCCGAAGTTTCGGCTCAACCGACGTCTTAAACGACTATAGAATTACCGTCCAGTCAGCAACCGCCTGTGCTTCTGGTAATCGTATCCCATGTTCGTGTATGATAGTGTTTACACACGGCTCGTAACGACACAGAGATTCTCAATTTTTGCATTTTCTGCCGAATTCGAATTACCGTGCGCTCCGAGAAGACCGCACGCAAGACCGACGGGGTTGATCCGCGATCGCCAGGATTGGCATTGGGTGGCAGTACCGCGAATTCTCTGAAGTCAATTCTAAAAATGCTCGAGGCGTTGGCCATGCTTAAATATAGCAGGCACAGAAAAAAAAAATGCAGCTTCCCTCATGCTGCAGAGAGAAGGCGGCGGATGACCGCTCGTTCGCCTTCTTACGCTAAGAATCCATCATTTTTATCGATCGCCAATGTTCGATCCAATGGGCGCGATCTCGGAATACGATGTATTATTGCCGAATATATCACGGAAATTTTACATTTTCCTTTTCTCGTGCTTCCAACAGGTCTGTATGATGTCTGATGCTCCCTCGGAAAGCATGATCGGAAATAACAGGATGCCGAATATCAAGCAGGAAATCGATAACCCAACGACGCCCACGCAAAATTATCAAGTGTGTTCGCCGACCACGACTCTTCAGCAACAGGAGGTATTGAAATTGTTCAAGGAACTTCTCAATTCGTCGACAAATATACAGCGTTCCTCTCTCTTATCACGCTAATATCGTCGCATTATAATCCACTAATAATCTCTCGAATTCACATAGATGAAGTATATCCAAAAAGAGCTTTGAGGTCTTCAAGAATCTTTTGTTGTCGAAATTATATTCGGAATTGGATTTCGCGATCGATACTCATTCCTTCTTGCATTGAGAGCAAAAGTAGGAATTTCTTACAAAATCTTTGAACTTTCTTAACTTGTTTTCACGCATTTCTTCTTTTATGATAGTTTTTTAATGATATGATTTTAATGATATTTTTTTATAATATTTTTTTGATTGCCTCATCTTAATTGTTATTTCAATCACGTTTTTTTCCAGTCGATATGCACAAAGTTGGACATCGCAACGGATTATGGCGGTAGCAGTGGCAGTCCCGATAGTCCAGAGATGCATCATTGTTCCTCGACGACGCAGCCATTGGGAACTCCAGAGGTGCGTGATCGCGTCCCGATAACGTTTCTCCATAGACAATGAGTTTACATTAGGGATGATTTATATTTGAACTGCTGTGAAGAATTGTTATCGTTTCCACAGGAAGGCGCTAAGGAAGACGATATGGTACCCAGGAGGCTTTGCCTTGTCTGCGGTGATGTTGCCAGCGGTTTTCATTACGGTGTTGCTTCGTGTGAGGCGTGCAAAGCTTTCTTCAAGAGAACCATACAAGGTAAACGAGTTTATCGATTTCCGTAACACTTCGCAATAATTCGTCCAGATAGCACCAAGGACTATGTTAATATGCATTTTCGATCGTATGATATTTGCATACGTACAATATATTCCTCCAGACGATATATTTGGACGCTCTTGTGATAATAGTCGTATTTGAAGACCAATTGGTGCTATCTGGGGCAAGAGACTGCGTATATTACGATAAAATAGCCAGTAATTTTACAGGAAACATTGAGTATACTTGTCCAGCGAACGGCGAATGCGAGATAAACAAACGAAGACGTAAGGCGTGTCAGGCGTGTAGATTTCAGAAATGTTTGCGGCAAGGAATGCTGAAGGAAGGCGTGAGATTGGATCGCGTTCGAGGCGGTCGGCAAAAGTATAGAAGGTCCACCGATCCTTACACATCGACCAAGAGCGTCACGCTAGAAGGTACTTGCTTTACGCTAATGCAACTTTGCGCCATATTTGTATCGATTCTATCATATAACAAGGACAGATATTTACTAAGGATAGAGATCGTCTCTTTTAAAAGACGATTTATATTATTAACTTTTTTTTTAATTATTTAGTGTTTCATGCTAGCGTACCGAAGGCAGATTCTGCTGCAAAAATAAGTAAGCTGCTAAGTAATCACGCGTATTTCTGTACGATGTTGCAATTTGTTTCATTAACTTGTTATTTCAGTTTTATAAAATAATAATATTAAGGCTCTGGTATAAAATATAAATTGATAAAAATGAAAGAAAGCCAATGAGAGTCCATATGGTAATAGGTAGGTAATAAATCGGTGTTATATAGCATATAAAATGTACATAAAATTCACAAACGTTTTGATTCCGGATTTGAGTCTTCTTCAGTGCCAAATTAAATAAGATAAAATCATTTTACTTTCAGAATTTTAATTCCTTTCCTACAATAATTTGATAAAAATTATTTAAAGCTTGGTTCTTACTATTCTTTATTGTTTTATTTATATTATAAATTTAAACTTAATTATTTCGATAATCCTTTCATGGAATTTTAAATATGGTCTCTTTACAATATTTTGATGATTTTTAATTTTAACATTTTGATCCTTGCATCATGTTCTATTATCTTAACTGCAAAGAGTGACATGAAGATTACTGCTATACAATAAGACATACTTTTAAGCTTAGATGCACTGAAGAAAACCCAAGATTGAAACGTTCGCGGATTTTACGTACTTTATATATGGCATGTAATATAATTTATTTATGCATTTATTACCTGTGTTGGCTCCTATTGGCATTTTTTTTTTTCATCAATTTAGTAGTTTTTTTTATAACTTATTACATCTTTCCTTGTTTCTTTAACGCTTGTAAATTTTCATTTATACAGCATTTACTAATTTAGTGGCATTTTAGCCTTGCCTTAGGGCAATTTAAATAAAGAGACACATTGTGTCTCGTCTTTTGCAGATAACAAGATTATCGAGGCTTTGGCAGCCTGCGAACCAGATATACTTCAAGTATCCAATGTTCCAAGTACGCTGGAGGCAGATCAAAAAATCCTTGGACAGTTGTCTGATCTCTATGATCGAGAATTAGTCGGTATAATCGGTAATTATCAGTTTGCATATTATTAAGCAGTTACGCGCGAAATTTCCTTTATTACGCTGGATGCTTAATCTGTTTTTCTTGACAGGTTGGGCTAAACAGATCCCGGGATTCGGCAACTTGGCGCTGAATGATCAAATGCGGCTTTTGCAGAGTACTTGGGCCGAGATATTAACCTTCACTCTGGCATGGAGAAGTATACCTAACACCGGCAAATTGAAGTTCGCGCAAGATTTTATTCTTGACGAGAGACTCGCGCGCGAATGCCACTGCATGGAGCTTTATACACATGTAAGAATAATTTTTTGCAAAATTTTATGTAATTATATAGTTTAATATTATTAATTGTTTTCGATAATGAAATATACAAATAAATGTTTATTTATATACACTAATACATATAATAATTTAATAAAAAAACAATAATAAAACAATAAAGAAAAATTGCATGTTGTGAAACCATGAAGAGTCATCTTATTTTCATTTTTTACAAATTTATATAAAATTAAACATATCTTATTTCTTTTTTGAATAGTGCATACAAGTCATGGAGAGGCTCCAGCGATTGAGTTTAACGCGAGAAGAATACTACGTGCTGAAGGCATTGATCTTAGCGAACAGTGACGCTCGGTCTGATCATCCTCAGGCGCTATATCGTTTTCGAGAATCGATCTTGGTTTCTCTTTCGGACTGTGTATCAGCGGTACGATCGGTCCAGGCACTCCGCGCTATGCAGAATATGCTAATAGTGCTGCCCAGTCTCAGACAAGCCGATGGAGTTGTCAGACGTTTTTGGTCAAATGTGTACAGAACGGGCAAGGTACCAATGAACAAGCTCTTCGAGGAGATGCTGGAGAATGTTTGTTTGCGATGAGACATGTTGGTTGTCGCAAATTTATTAACTCGACGCTGTACCGTTGTTTATCGTAAGCTAACAATGTTTACCACTATCGTGATTATATATTATTGTATCGTTATTTCGGGCATGTTCGGTGTGCCGTTGAGTTGCTGAAGACATTAATGAGTGATAGGTGGGTGATAAGTGAGTGATAAGTGGGAGGGACAAAGATTCTCGAGATCCTTCTACAATTCTTTTTATTTTCTAATGAACTCGCGAGTTTTTATTATGATTTTTTTTTTCTTTCTTTTTGCGTGCGAAGAGAGGACGATGAAAATGGAAGTTTCTTCAGGCAGTGTCTTCGGTGATTCATGTTGTGATTCACGAATCGTTTTCTAACACGGCAGATGCGTGTATAATCTTTATTCAAAGTATCCAAACTTTCCTTTTCGAGTACCCCATTTACAGGTACAGAAAGAAAGAAAGAAAAAGAAACAAAGGAAAGAAAGAAAAGGAAGGAAATAGAGAAAGATATAACTTTTACGTTGGAACATGCAGTACAAGATGCGAGAAGACTTTTTCAGAGTACTCATTTTTAGGATAGGCGTAATATGGAAGCCAATCGTCGGCTTTATCATTCAATTACCAAATAAAGTGTTTCCGTTTGATCATCACGATCGTAACACTAAACATAGTAATCAAATAAGATGTAATAACTGTGGGTGTTTAACGTCGTAGTATGATTAAATACTGTTGGTATTGAGAATCAACAATCAAAATTATTGTTATTGAACATTTTCTCCGGATGTTACTATTCTCTTAATTATTGTTGTGTTTATTTTTTTTTTATTATTTTTTTTTTGTTTAGTCACCGTATCCTAATGGGGGCGAATATCATCTTGTGCATTCTCAACACGATATGTGTATATACATGTTTAACAGT